TTATACATGAATACAAATGTGGGCAGAAGGAACTGCACATTGAATTGCATACATATGGCAATCAGAGAAAAATCTAACAAGAAAAATCTAACAAACAAGGGAGCTGAACTATTATGAATGTAGAAGTAGGAACAACTGTTGGAGGACAGAGATTAAAAGGTAACTCCTCCACATCAATACCCGAAATATAAATTACTAAAACCTTTTTTGGAAAAGTAAGCTCTCCCTCTGAACCCCACAGACTGGGCTTCTAGTCTTGCTGTCTGGGCTTCTAGTCTTGCTTCTAGTCTTGCTCTGTTGCCCAGGCTGGAGTGCAGTGGCACAATCTCAGCTCCCTACAACCTCCGCCTCTTGGGTTCAAGCAATTCTCCTGCCTCAGCCTCCCTAGTAGCTGGGATTACAGGCATGTGCCACCACGCTCGGCTAATTTTTGTATTTTTAGTAGAAATGGGGTTTCACCATGTTGGCCAGGCTGGTCTCAAACTCCTGACCTCATGATCCGCCTGCCTCGGGCTCCCAAAGTGTTGGGATTACAGGTGTGAGCCACCGCGCCTGGCCTCTAGTTTGTTTTGTAGTGCATCTGTAGTTCACAGGTACAGACAGTCATAGTCAATGCAGAAAATCAAAATGAAAAGGTAGGCCTCAGGGCTCCTAGGATCCACAGAATATATCTGGCATAGAATACTCAAGGACTTTGTCACAAGAGCATATAACCCTTTATTTTGCTTCTGTCAAGGAAGTGGCAGTTTGAGGAAGGGCACAACCAAACCCTTCTTAAGCAACATAAAGTTTGCCCAAAGCTATTCTTGTTCCCAGAACATCCCCCAGATTCTATTAACAACCAATTATGTGATCTCTCACCCATAACATTATTTATGAACTCTATTCTAAGAGAAGGTATTACTTGGAAATAAGCTAACAAAGTTTGTTTTCCACTAAGTAAAGCAGGAATTTCCTTTTGTCTTATGCTTGTTTTCTTCAGGTTTCTACTGAAGGGCAGGGAATTAGCTCTGAGGTCAGTCCCAGCATCTTAGGGACTGGTGAACTATACTTTTCTCCTCCATAAAGATACTGTGTGGTTATTTATAAGCCTTGATCAAAATCAATTTTTAGCTTCCTGCAAAATGAAGGGGCCTCATTTTCTTATCCTTCCTTACAGAGCATCACATGTGTCTTTCTCTCTGCCTTCATCACTCTAGCAGTCCTTCTCTGGATCTTCCCTAGCTTTGCTATATCCTTGTGCTCCAACCAGCACTACTCTTTGTATTCTAGGTAAAGAGCAACCACAGGTTTGTCAAAAAGGAAGACAGCCTTGACTGTTTTCCTTTCAATATCCTCCTTGACAATGCCTGGTATCCTGTTGGCCTTTCACGTCATGGACACATGGTGATGAAGCTGGCAGTGGGTGGTATACAGGCTCCACTTCGGGATCATCACCGATAATCCTGAATCCATCCATGGAGATTTGTCCTCAAATGCATTCTTAATTTCCCTTCAATGAAGCTCAGCCAGTGCTTTCTGCCCTCACACAGAATCTTTTCAAAATCTTCCTTAGGCTTATGTCCACCAACCAGTGTAGTATTTAACTCCCATGACAGTTGTCACTCCTGTTGTACCATCCATTTCAAGATTACTCATAAAACATTAAAATCTGGCCAGGCATGGTGGCTCACGCCTGTAATCCCAGCACCTTGGGAAGCCAAGGCAGGTGGATCACTCGAGCCCAGGAGTTCAAGACCAGCCTGGGCAACCCCTTCTCTACTAAAAATACAGCACAGTGGCTCATGCCTGTAATTTCAGCATTTTTAGGAGGCTGAGGCGGGTGGATCACTTGAGGTCAGGAGTTCGAGAGCAGCCTGGCCAACATGGTGAAACCCAATCTCTACTAAAAATACAAAAAAATTAGGTGTGGTGGTGCATGCCTGTAATCTCAGCTACTCAGGAGACTGAGGCCGGAGAATCGCTTGAATCCAAGAGGAGGAGGTTGGAGTGAGCCAAGATTGCACCACTGCACCCCAGCCTGGGCACCAGAGTAAGACTGTCTCAAAAAAAAATAGTGAAGCCACAAAACATTAAGAGGCTTAGAAAAGGGCATTTGAAGCAGATAATAAAAAATTCATTTATAATTAAGATTTCAGCAGTCTCATCTATGAATCACACTTTTATGAAATTAACTTTTGATTTGGTCAGTTGATACAGCTTTTAGAATCCCAAAAATTTTCATAAAAGACTTTTTCTAATGAAAGGTACCCAATAGCTAAAATACTCAATATAAACAGGAAAAGAAAAAAGGCCCAACTCAAGCCAATGCAATTCGTTTTTAGAAATTTCAACTAAACAAGCTCTACTCACAGAAGAATTCCCAAAGTTCCCCACATACTTGGGCCATGGGGATGTGAGCAAGATATCAACACCCTTAAACTGGGAGGTTGTACACAGCATCATTCTCAGAGAAGACACATCCTTGGGACTAAAACTATAACCTGGTACTGGCTCATTTAAGGACTCTGTCCCACTGAGGTAAACAATCTGCAGCCCCGAGCTTCCAGTGAAGATACCTTTACGACCTGGGTTCAAAATAAAATGAACATATTTTAGTCAAAATTGCAGAATGAAAAGCCATCAATATGGGGATGAATCTCCCATGAATCTCCTATGTCCCTGCCATTTTACATGTCTTAAGTGTAAACTCTTCGGCAGCTCCCTTCTGGTTGCTAGGTATCAATGGTGAATGGCTACAACAGTATTCCTGTTCAGTAAGTATGAAGCCCACGGGCCAGTCTGTTTATGCAAGGTGCCTTACAATATTACTGGAAAAACTCGGGAAGAGAAGATTAGGAAAAAGGCTTTCTGCCTTCTAGAGAAGACTCTACATGGACTTAAACCCAGACATCTGGACACAGGAAAAAGCAATGAGAAGAAAAATACAGTTCAAAGGAAGCTATGGTCTAGAAAAGACGCATGCTTCCGGCAGGCAGGCAGCAGCTTCCAAGTGAAGGAAAACATTTGGAAAGAGCAAGTGTTTAGGAAAAATTAGAGACTCTATTCTCTTCTAGGGTTATTCCTGGCTTGTGGCCTTGTTTCCATCTCTCCTGTTGCCTCCAAGACCTTGCTCCATCAATTTTCACCTCCCTTTCATCTATTGAGTCTCGTTAGCTGGCTCTCTCTGCTCAGAAGAAAACATGCTCAGCCATCCAAAATGAATACACATACTAAGAAACTTCCTCCTCTTTAGTTTTGAATTTCTGAAGAGTAGTCCGTGCTAAGTACTTTACCTCTTTTTTGTACGTTTTTTTTTTGTTGTTTTTTTTTTTTAGTAGAGATGGGGTTTCACCATATTGGCCAAGCTGGTCTT